CTATTTTTAATATATTATTATATTATAATATAATTACAATGTCGGAATAGTATTATGAGATTTTTTTCCTGGTTTTTCCCTCATAATTTACTATGGAATCACTAACAGGAGAATTTTACTGTCATCATGTCATGTGTTTGTCTTTTTAAAGACGAATTACATGCTATGATTTTTTCTGACGGATATTCTCAAGTTAAAGTTGATTTCATGTAATCGAATGAACTATCTTATAAGTAAAGTCGTCCCAGGAGCGCAACTCAACAATATTGGCAATATCATTTTAAAGTCGTCTACTTTAAAATGCATAATGTATGTCTGAATTGTCAATATAAATGAGTCAGATAAAATTAAATTATTAGGAGAATTTTTCACTATGTAACAAAAAACAAAATTGGTTTAATTTACTGTTTGTATTTTGAGAACGATTTCCGAAGTGGAAATTGAAACGTCAATAAACTTATTTTTAACTCTAATTGTGGCTTATTCCCAGTTTAATAGTAATTAATTTACAATGCCACAAGAAAATAGCTTCAGAACAATATTCTTTTTACAGATTTTACATAAAGACGTACGAAGATTTATAAGAGAGCAAATAAAGGAAATAAAGGTCTTGATAGAATCTAACTTATTACAAAAGATAAAGAGCACACTTTGGACAAATGAACCAAACGACAGAAAATAATAAAAAACGGAAATATCATAAAACAAATTAAAGAAACTCTAGCGAATCTAAAAAATGAAAAGACTCTGGGAATCATCGAATAGTAGACGAGCTTATACAAATAGCAGACCAAAGCTCATACGATGGTTAACAGTTATTTTTAATATGATCTTACAATTATTAAAACTACTCGATAAATAAGAACCAAATAACTATCAAGGAATACACCTGTCAATTAACATTCTGAAATTTTCTTAACGAAATTAATGCCAAATAATTTGATGGGAGCTTATGACAGATGTAGCTTTTAATTTGATATTGATATGAACAGAGCAGAAAAAGAGCTTGTACAGCTCGAATAGAAGCGTGTCATAATTTTCTTGGCAATACTAAAGCTGACTACTACCAAAAAATCATATAAGAACTTCTTTGTGTTTATGAATATTTAGGAGATAATATGTCACTCAAGACTTATTTTCTAAATTCGCACTTTTTTCCTAAAAATCTGAATGCCCTATACGATGATCACGGTGAATGGTTTCACCAGGGCACATTGGAAGAGATTACAATGCAAAATGACCAGCAGCAATGCTGTTGATCGATTTTTCGTTGTCTGTTGGTCTACTTACCAAGAGTTTTCAATTGAAGCAATGAACATAAAGAAAACTACAAAATAACTTGTATTTTATCATCATACTGAGACATATTTAATAAAACTTTCGTGATCTGTATCTGAAAAAGTAGTATTTTTACTGTAAACCTTAAATATAGTACTTCTTAACTTTTTTTTATAGTTGTTACCCTAATAATATTGTTTTTTTTTTAGTTACATGAAGATTATATGAAAAGCATATGTGTTGTAGTTATTCCCATAGCAATTTTCGCATTCAGAGCACCTATAATAACCCTATTATGTATGAAAACAAAAAGGAGGAAAGAATTTTTTTGCAGATCAGTATAATTATAAAATTAATAAAAAGGAAGTAAATATATTTAAAGTTCTGACTGACTGATCTTTATTGGTTTGCATAAATAGACGGAAGCAAAATAGGAAAACAACTATCAAAATGTAAATTTTTCAGCAACTGACTTGTCTATCTCTGACCCAACGACGTTACTAAATCACACATGGCAAACCTTAGACAATTTATATGAAAGTGATTATTATCCAACAATAGTAACAACAATTTCCAACCCCACAACAAAAACCAATCCTTTGCAAAAGTGGAAAATTAAGCAAGCCAACTGGAACATTTTTAAAACAAAAATTACTGAAGAAATATTGAATATCCCTATAATTAAAGAAGACATAAACTTAACTTTAAAATTCTTTAATAACTTTATCACCGAAGCCGCCACAATTGCAATGGGAAAAAATAAGTATATAACAAAAAACAAAGTTGTTCTCTGGTAGAATGAAGAGTGTAAATTGGCAATAAAACAAAGTAAAAAAGCTTTAAATACTTTCAAAAGACATAAAACCAATGAGAACTTGATAGAGCTAAAGAAAAAAAGGACACATGCAAAATTAATTACTACCAGATCTAAAAAGAGTCCTGAAAAAATACGTTTAAAGTATTAACAGGAATACAAACATGTCCTCTGCATGAAAAAAAACTTAAGAACATATCTGGCGTCAATACACAAAATGGAATAAAATACCTTGAACCTAATTAATAAAAGCAAAAAAAATGTAGAAGAATTAGCTGAAACATATAGATAAGAATCTACAAATGAAAATTACAGCAATACTTTTTTACGTTATCGGGAAGAAGAAGAAGCAATCCATACATTATTACTGATGTATAGAAGCCTAATCCGATCAAAATTGGACTACGGATGCATTGCATATTCTTTGAAGCTTATAGAACAACTCCTGTTACAAGCCTCGAGTGGGAACTTGCAGAGCTATCATTACATGAACGACGGAAATTACTTAGTCTTATCTTACGCCTCAAAACAATCATCACTACAACCTGATAACCCTTTTCTTACTCGGTCATCGTTATCAAATATCAATATAAGAACAGATTTGCCATTTCAATTAAGGATCAAAAACATTTTAAACTCTATTGAAATTTTTAACTCTCCCTCAACATATTCAACAAACCTAAACACGCCACCTTCCTGGTTAATACCTTTGCCTACTTTAAATTTAGAACTGTCATCATATAATAAATCTGAAACTAATCCACCAATATTAATAAGCAATTATAATAGAATATTTTCTTCTTTACCTGAATATATCCAAGTTTACTCAGATGCATCTAAACAATTTCTGGTGTAGGATCATCATTTGTTATAAGCGACATAATAAAAAGTTTCAAATTACCCACAGAATCCACTGTGATAACTGGAGAAATGTATGCAATATACAGAGCTCTAAATCACATACAGGCAGTCAAATCAGATAAATTCCTTATTATTACTGACTCAATCAATTCCCTCCATATACTGTTAAAAATGTACACCTGCTACCTGATTGACAAATTAATTAAAAACAAGATGCAGCAGCTCGAAAACAAAAGATTAGTCTTCGTGTGGGTACCATCACATATAGGCATTAAAGGAAACGAACTAGCTGATAAGAATGCTCGAGAAATAGCAAATTCCCCAAATATCAGACCGATAATAAAACCATTAGCAATCTCAATTCGTATTTTAAATAAAAGCTGATATGTAATTGGACTAAATGTTGGGAAGAAAAAGCCTCAAAGTTAAAAGAAATTAAACCAAATTTTGGACGATGGAGTAACAACGTTCCTAGCCGTTTCCTTCAGGTTGTAATAACCAGACCTCGATTAGGAAGGACCCAGCAAACTCACACATAAATATCTCATGAAGAAGGAACCTCAACCAAAATGTACGAGTTGTGACGTGCCCTTAACAGTGAAACAGATACTAACGGAGTGTCCCAAATATAGTACTAAAAGACTAACTAATAAAATTACATCAGTTTAAGATATATTTTTAGTGAGTGTACCAGTGAAAATATTGTTAAATTTTTAAGAGACCAACATATTGAATCACATATAAGTATGTTTTTATTTGTTATTTGTAATCATTATTGTTTACATTAAATCCATCCGCTAATAACCAATATGGTTGATGCGGCTGCCTTTAAATAAAAAAAAACTATCAAAATGTCTTACTCCTAGTTTCACAAAATTGCTTTTAAAAGATTGTATCTTAAATGAGTTTAAAGAGAAAATTGTCACCCGTCTGGATATTCTTCTTTAGGCGATTACCTAAAAGAAACACCATTTAAAAATAAAGTAAAAAAGCAGATACTCTTGTGGGGAAAACATTCGTGAGTTCGTATTGCATTAGTTTGTATGTGATATGAGAGGAAAAAAGCAGACAAGAAAATAAGTAAAATACGAAACGTATAAACTGTAGACAGCTTACGATCCCGTTGCCGATCATCAAGCCAACGTGGCAGAAAAATGAAAAGCTAAATCCGGTTATCATAGCAATTTCCACGGCGTTCCTCGCCAAATTCGTTTGCCGACAAGTCGACAAGTTACCTTTGCCTTGCATTCGAGCATTAAACGTAGCTCGGGGCTTCGGTGAATAAAACCTAAACGCCTCAACCCGAAACCGCACTTTGCAGGATACGGATCAGTGACGTAACATTGCAAAATTGGGAGCAGAAAAAAACTAAGATATTTCTGAATTATCTGTAAGTAATCGGACAAATTTATGAAAGAAAGTTTCATTTTCAACTATTTCCTGGAAGTTACATACATTTAATAATAAGTTTCACTTGTAAAACGAATTACCTTGTTTTTTTAAACAAATCAGACCGTATCTCGTATTAGAAATTTTTTGAAACCGTAAGATGACAGCCGCCTTTATTACATGATACTTTATTAAACTACAAAACACTTTATGTCTAAAAGAGAGTTATTGCTAATATGTTACAGAAATCTTTTATTTTGACAAATGGCATTAAATGAAGCGTATAAAGACAAAACCAGACGTTTGACATTTTTTTTTAAATGAGTTATATATGGATTCCATATGTAAACATTGATAGGAATCCGTTATTCTCACCCTTATGTTCATAAACAGATATTTAAATGGCCTTATTCATAGTTGAAATTTATCTGTAGATGCAAAAGCAGACATTTGTGTACACTTGTTAGGTGCAGAGGCAGACATTTGCCTTTAAACGAATCCGGATGCAACTTCTTAGTCACGTGCTGTTGTGTTTGCGCTATTTCGTATTGTCACTCGTATTTCGTTAATACTTTGTACTCACATGAAGACCAAAAGTGGTAAACGTACGTTTTAAATTAGTGCTCATGAAAACAAACAATAATTAAATATTGTAAACATGAATAACATTATTATTGAACCAAGTTCAGCTGGTAAAGGACGAAAACCATTGGTAAATAAAGATCAGTGGAAACGAGAAATAGCAAAAAAACGAAGGTATGTTCACATTAAACTTTTTGTTTAACAACTGATCGGATTATATCATTTTACTTTGTTAGGTATTCTTGGCGGTACCTTCCTGCATTTCCCTGAGGTGTGCTCATAACACCAAAGTTCATCAATGTTCCTCGTTGATAATGACCGATATCAGAAAATTTAACAAAAGCTTTTATAGCAAACCATCGAAATCCTATCAAGACATGTTTGTATTGAAGCACTGCGTGACAAATAATCCAAAAAGACCTGGTACGAAAATTAAAGAAAACGTTCTAAATAAACCAAAAACAGTCAGTGTAAGGGGAAGCGCTGACCAAAGTGACGTGGCACGTGGCAAGTAGCAAGTAGCACGCGTCTAGCATGTTACATAAAATGTAACCAATGCAAAGAAATAATTAGATCGAATGACGTCGCTCTCATTTTGGTGTGCGCTGAATCATTCGTTTTTATTGGTTACATTTTAAGTAATATGCTAGATGCGTGCTACTTACTACTTGCCACGTGCCACGTCACTTTGGTGGGTGCTAACACTAAGGGAAAGCGCCCACCAAACTGGCGTGGCAGGTAGCACGTAGCAAGTAGCACGCGTCTAGCATGTTTCTTAAAATGTAACCAATGAAAACGAATGATTAGAATGAATGACGTCACTGTCATTTTGGTGTGCGCTGAATCATTCGTTTTCATTGGTTACATTTTAAGAAACATGCTAGACGCGTGCTACTTGGCACTTGCCACGTGTCACGCCACTTTGGTGGGCGCTCTCACTAAGGGAGAGCGCCCACCAAAGACGAATAAATCTTACAAATAGGGCATGCTATGGACTCCAAAAGCATTTCCACTCAAGAAACATTCAAAGAAGAACTAAAATTATTATATACAAAACATTGCTGAGGCCAGTCCTCACTTATGGAGCAGAAACATGGACTCTAACTCAGAAAGATGAAAGACTTTTGGGAATATTTGAGCGTAAAATACTCCGCAAAATATTTGGAGCTGTAAACGACCAAGGGCAGTGGAGCAGAAGATATAATTTTGAATTGTATCAGCTCTTTGATGAGCCAGATGTCATAACGTTCATTAAAACACAGCGACTTAGATGGGCTGGACACATAATACGAATGCCAGACAATACCATTGCTAAAAAGCTAACCACAGGAACACCTGTAGGAAAAAGAAGCAAAGGCCGACCGCGAATTAGGTGGTTAGATGGAGTAGAAACCGACTTACGAATATTAAAAATCAGAAGATGGCAACATGTTGCCAAAAACCGAACAGAATGGCGACAAATCTTAGAGCAGGCCAAGGTCCACAGGGGATTGTCGAGCCAAAGATGATGATGACATGATTTCTGTAACGATTGCAGTATGATCGGCTTATCTTATGTTGTCTATGATTTCACCTCCTCTTTTTACCCCTTCTGTCCTGCCATGTAGGTGGTCACAAAAGATGTTCCCCGAATGTAGGTTAAATTGCAGGGATGAGAGAACACAACCCTGTATTACACCATGCCTTATTGGTATTTCGTCTGTAACTTCTTCATCTTCGCTGACTTCAGCTGTTTAATTGTAGTACAGGTTTTTTAAAAGATGCTTGTCGAAATACGCTGAATGTTTTCAGACATTGGAAGTTCTGTGTGTTTGACTCAATCGAACTGACTGGTTTCACTAGTTTGACTGGTTTTTAGAAATCTATAGAGCGAAATTAACTAACGAAAGAGTTTTTGCATATATTTATATTGAATTACAGGATGTGAAGTACTCATGCTATTGAGAGAATAGACAGACTGTAAATAGTCAGTTTTTGAATTATTTTGATTCGTATTAGAGTTTTGTTTCCTTTAAAATCCATAGAATATTTAAATCGGTTATTTCGAAAAGGCCACATCTCCATTAATTTCATAAAATGAGTTAACTTCGCCATTTTGTTCAGAATATCCTTTAAGCTTTATTACACGTGAAAACGCCACATCTCCGCTGTTCGTTACTATTAATCTTGACAGGCGTATTTCTGTGTTTATTTCGAAAAGGCCACTTCTCCGGAGATGTGGCGATTTCGATACAGACTGCGGGCGCCGGTGATTTAGTGGTTACGGTCGCGGACCTTCCTAGTTTCCTAGACCAGTTGACGATTATCTTTAGTACGATTAGGTTCCATTGTGTATTGTTTATACAAAAATGAGTAGCTCTGATAGTGAAACCAGTGTCATTATTGAAAATAAACAAAGGAAAATAAAGAAAGGTATTATGAATGCCCTGTATAAAAGTAAAGTTGTTAAGAAGGCTAAAGTTAAGGGCCAAGCCCATATTAATCACGTGGGAAAACAAGTTATGGCGCAAAAAACTGGAATCGACTGTACTTGTCACAAGAAGTGTTGTGAACATGTTTGGAAAATTGACAAGAATGCGTTGTTTACGTCGTTACATGACTTTGATGACAAAAACTCACAAGACTCATACTTACAAAATATGATCGAAGTAACTCCCATTAAGAGAATGAGAAAATCTTAGAATGCTATTAAACGTATTGAGAGACCCAGTAATTTTTTGTTTCATGTTTGTTTAAAAGGAGTACGTCAGCAAGTATGTAAGAAAGCTTTCTTAAGTATATATGGTTTTGGTGAAAAGTATGTCAGAAGATTATGCTACCTACTAGTGACTGGATCCACTCCAAGAGATAATAGGGGTAAATCTGTTAAATCTAGGCATAATTTAATACCATATTAATTGTGCTTTCAAATACGTGGGCACATACTATCGTTTGATGTAAAGGAAGTCCATTATGCTAATATATTAAAAAAGTTTTTTTTTTACCTGCTACTTTGGATATCAAACAAATGCATAAAATGTTTATCGAAAAATATCAGGAATCTAAAGTGAAATACACTTTTTATTTAAAGTATTTTCATGAAAATTTTATATATTTTTTTTGATCATCCTTAAGTTCATGTATGTTCTGCTTGTGAAGAATTTGGCCAGAAAGTTAACGACATTGCAAAATGAGTTGCTGTTGCAGAACTATCAGTTCACAAAAATAGTGCTAAGAAATTTTATAAAAAACCAGAGGAGATTAAAAAACTTTCTACAGAGACGGACGAGACACTAGGAATCTCTATGGATTATATTTAAAATTTGCCCATACCTGACATACCTGTACAGCAAATTTTTTATCATCGGCAGTTATAGATTTTTGAATTCAGTATACACAACTTAAAAACAGGAAAATTGTTTTCCTATCACGAGAGCGAGGCCCACAAAGGACACAATGAAGTGTGCACCACCCTGAAAAATTATTTTGAATTTGAGGTTTCTGAAAATGTAAAAGAGGTCCAAATATTTTCAGATGGTTGTGCAGGCCAAAATAAGAACCACATGGTAATAAGATTCCTTCTAGCTCTTGCTTCGTCAGGAAATTCAATCACATTTTTCATTATTTTCCAATCAGAGGCCACTCATTCCTCCCGTGCAATAGAGACTTCGGGGTAGTAAAAAGACTCATTCGCAAGCAGGACCGAATTTTTCTTTCTGAAGAATATTACGAATTGATAAAAAAATCGTCAAGAAAATCTCTTTTTTCTATAGAACTGGTAAAAAATGAAACAATTTTGGAATTAAAAAAAATGGTGGCCCATGCATTATAAGAAAACTGTACTCTCCATTGATTCCTATGGGAAAAAAGCCAAACATGAGAAAACTACTTTTCAAATTTCCCAATATAATGAGTTAAAATATGACAACAAAAAACCGGGAATTGTTAAAGTACGTCCAGTTATCGATGAGCTTATGTTTGAACAGAGTCTGCCTACACAGAAAAAATCCCTATTAATTCGAAAAAAATGGACAGCATCAAGAAACTTGTACAATATGTGCCAGAAGACAAAATGTTTTTTATAATGAGCTGATTTTACGGCCTACCACTAATAGTGATGAACCACCGGAGGAAGATTACTAAAAGACTATTTCTTAACCTTCAACTCGTCTTTTTTGCCACCTAATAAATTTTTTTCTTAATAATATTGGAGTTTTTTATTATTAATCATAAAATCATCAGTGTTTGTTTAGAAAAGGCCACAATTGCAAAAACTAAAATATTTTTTACAGTGTACCTATGTCTTTTTTATGTTGGATTTGTTAATGAAACTTCGTCATGCATCACATTTTGAGACTTTACTCCGAAAAGAGAAAGATATCTTCATTAATACCAAAATGAAACGTCTTTTTCGTTTCTGGAAAATTAACTTTTCTGGAGTTGTGGCCTTTTCGAAATAACCGATTCAGTTGTTATCCGATGATTTGTGGGATTTGACAATATATTAAATTGATGGTATAATTAGGTTTATTACACTACTTGGGGAGTCTATCTTGACTTGAAGACACTAAAAATGGGCTATTAAAAAAAATCTTCTTAAAAAGCATGTTCTTCATTGTTTAAAATTTTTTCTTTCTTATGTCAAATTGTAAAATTAAGACTTTAGCAAGTTATTATGTGTAAAAAATTAAGCTTAAAGAATTAATAGAATGCTTATATGATTAAACAATGGAACGAGTTACCAGACCTTTTTGAACTTAAATACGGACGTCCATGAGTTAGCGCATACCTCCACAGGCAAGGGCAAAAGCCCTTTCAAATCATGGTGACAATCTTTTATCGTCATTTAATTTTTGGCCCACGGTAATCGAGTCACCTTTTGTTTCTTTAATACCTTTTAGTTCTCGGATGATTTCTGATAGACAAAGACATTTTTACTTGAGTTGATAGCACATCTACCTGTTGGGAAATAAATTTAATAACGAAAATTGAAAAATAACTCGAATTTTATTAAGAAATTCGATCAGCAGGAAAATATAAATTTTTGCTAAGAAGCAGGGATGTTTAAAGATTAATGTAGCGAGACTTCTGATAACATATTAATTTTAAGTAAATTTATTTGTCAAATAGCCAAATCGTGATAAGAGTGTGTAAAATGTGTGTGTAAATATTTTACCCCCTATAAACTGGCATAT